CCTATAAAGGATACTACTAGTCCCTTATCACACCACACATTGGCTTCGTCAAAATTTTTCAACTGAATGCAGGCACTGGCACCTGTAAAGGCATAAAACACAGACGTCAGTCACAGAGTATTGCTTAAATTACACAAGCAACTCATTTAAATATATCCATCATTTATACAGAGTATTTATTGGCACAGCGTACAGGCCTAACTCACACTTAGGGCTGCATTCATTATGTATGCTGCTGGGGAGCACAGGATATTTTTTCAAGGGGCAAATTTTTTATTTCCCCCCCCCCCCACATCATACAGAATTTGTTTGACAACCCCCTCTTGACCAAAAGAAGAAAAATATGACAACCTGTCTTCACCAGTCTTGACGAGGAAAGCAAAATGTAGGCAATATGATGACATAGTAGAGAGATTTAAAGTGTTTAAAATGGAAAACTAAAGCAAAAGGTAACCAAAGGTTTTCACAGATTTGTGTGAAATAAAAATATGTAAGGAACAGGACATAAAGGCGCAAGGAGTCTACTTTTTGAGGCTCAAAGTCAATCTCAAAGCACTTTGGCAACTGAGGGAACTGACTATCCTTACTGGGGATGCTCTTGAACATGAAGATTGTGCTGTTCAAATTTAGAGAAGCATGGTGTTTGAATCCATATATTACCAATTGGTACTTGAAGCTTTTAAAGAATAGAACACAAAGGGTATGTTTCAACAACTTTGGGTGCGACTGGAAACTGGTTAACAAAGGGACAACTCAAGGCAGCGTTAGCGTTCGTTACCTTTTCAACATCTTTGTCAATGATCTTAACATCACTATAGGTAATCATGACGCGCTATTTAAGTACGCTGATGATTCGACAATTATTGCTCCTTTATGGAGGGAGGTAAACTACTCCGATCAATTAGTGCCACAGTTTTTAGATTGGACAAATACAAATCGAATATAAATGTCTTGCAATCCAAGCAAATGTAAAGAGTTGACGATCAAAAAGAGAGACAACTGGGATCTCTTTTCACCTACTGGGATGATAGCAAGCTGTAAAGAAGTAGACATTTTGGGGGTCACCTTCCAATGGGACAGCAAATTTTCAGTGCACGTGAAGAAAAAACTTATTAAAGCGACGAAATTCCTTCATATCCTTAGAACGCTGCGCAAAGAGGGGTACAATCTGTCAGAAATAGACCTCCTCCTTAATACAATAATTCTACTTAATATTAATTACGCATTATCTGTCTACGCCGCGTCCGAGTCCGACCTTACACCTGTACAATGTTTCTTATACCGCTGTTTTAAAAGATATACGTCTAAGCCTGAAAGTGTTTATGATTTGTTAGAGAGGCAAGACCGTAAAAGTTTCGGAAAAGTTCCGAATACTAAAGGACATCTATTTTTATCTATTATGCGTCGTGTTAAACCGTCCAGTTATAATCTTAGGAAAGAAACTTGTTTTAAACCTAAGATTGACACTATGCGTTTTACCTTTTTACACTTTTTACTAGATGTTAAATTTCTGACACTTACTTGTAACAAAAGATGTGTATTTTTATCTTTTGATGAAATTATTATTTTGATGAGATTATTATTATTATTATTATTATTATTATTATTATTATTACGTTGATGATGACGATCATGATGATGGGAACGACGATGTTATTAATGCTTCCAATGATAATGATGATGAGGATGGTGGTGGAAATGAAGAAGGTACTGAGAGTTTTGGTGACAATGGTGAAGTTTACAACATGCCTTCACAAAGAAAGTTGCAATGTGTTGTCAAGCATTAAATTTCTACAGTTTAATAACATTCGTCAGCAAACTTAAAACTAGTGACACGTTTTTCAATTTGTGCATGCTTTTTGAGCTTTCAAGCACTAACACAATCAGTGTTAACTTTTTGGCCTAGGAATACTAATTATAAAATACTTTGTATGTCTATTATGTTAGGTTTTAGAGCTCTATTTCAGTCCATTCATTAATCTTGATTTCTGTGGCTGCTGCTAAACACTGAAACATTGGCAATTTTTCAGTTAAAGGAAGATTGAACTTTTCATTAAAATTTTGTAGTTGCTGTTGACTAAAAGGCAACCAGTTTACAATAAAAACACTTGACTTTGATATTAGTAATGAAAGTCCCGTGAAGAGTATATTTATAAAGCGAGCTAAGAAACGTTCTTCGAGCATAGAGTAGTTGGAATTGCCTTTTTTATTTAAAAAAAAAATCCAAAAATAATGCTTCCTTTTTTGATAAGAGGAGAAAAAAAATTGCAACCCTCCCGCCTTTGTCTGTCAAAAATTTTGGCAAATCCCCCCTTTTCCCTTTTCAAAAGAAATTTGAGATCCCCCCAAAACTCTTCTGCCCCCCCCCTCCACCCCCCTGCGGTATACCATAGGTTCAAGGTTTGTATCCTCAGACGTCAGTTGTATCAGAAACAAGACTTTTAAAGGTTTTGTAAGAGTTAAAACTCTTACCTCTCACAAAAGCTTTCGGAAAATGTGGTTGCAATTCAATGGCAACTTTTGCATCATTCACTGTTTCAGGGTAATTGCCTATGGAAATAAAATACAGAACACACTTTGTAATAACCCAGGTAAGTTAAACAGAAAAAAGGGGAGGGATACGATTAGTCAGTACGGCTAGCGCCACTGCAAAAACGTGCTAACGTAACAACCACTAAACTAATAACTTAGAAATTTTCTGCGTGCACCATTCAACGATGCTAATTTTCAATAGAAAAAATAAAAATACCTCTAATTAGCCCAGATTGAGATCCGTACTGTAAATTATGCACCACGTTTTTTTCCATCGGTTTATAGCTAGCCCGTGCCAAGCTCTTGGTCAGTGTAGAGAAGCGAAAAAAGCCAGCGAGCAGTGAAATACGGCGGAAAGACAGAGGAAACGTTTTGCATGTCAAAATGTCAAATGTTCAAACGTCAAAAATTGCAGTGTAGGAGGGTTTTAAATGCTCGACATGTTTGTTACAACTTCTTACCCAAATTAAAATGTGCTGCCGCTCTGTTGCTGTACAGTTTGGCGTTAAGATCTTTATCCTTACAGTTCACTTTAATTCCTTCAGTGTAGTAATTAATGGCATTGTTGAAATTCTTCTTGTTGTATTCATCGTTACCCTCATTCTTGTAAACCTCAGCAATAGCTACAAAGGAGCAAATTTTTAATATTGTAACTTTAATTTAGGTTTTCAGTCAGAATTTAGTTCTATTTCCATGTGCAATTTACTTTAATCCCATTACAACATTTCTGCTACCAGAAACCAAATCAGAACATTGCAATTTAAGTTTACGAATCTGATACAGCTTCATATAATTAATCAAGGTTTTAACTGATAATAATATTAAAGCCCCACAACTGACAAGGAGATAAAGGCTTATACATTGGTATCTATAAAACCGAGAACAATTCCTTCGTCGTTAATATTTTATTACAGAAAGAAAATAGTATTTAAAATTCCCACCTCTTAAAGTGCTATCATCAAACTGAAGTGTTTCCTCGGTAGCTGATGTGACGCCATTTTCTTTTGTACCTGTGTTTGCACTTCTCTCCATGGCGGAATGCTTTAAGATTCAGTTATATCACTAAGTTAATTTATCGTGATGTTTGTATCCAATGCAAGCGGGGATCCTACCGGTTTCTGCCGTTTACAGAAATTTACATTATTCATGACAAATATGTTTTTAATAATAATACGAAAAAACTTTCCACGTTAAAGTCTTTTCACAGACGACATTGACAGAAGTCGCCTTGCTCCATATTTACTACATGGAAATTGATCTTTATGAAACTATAATCCGCCAATTTGCATCAGAGCAGAATGGAACTGACCAATATCCTGTGTGAATGACTGAGGAATCCAGAAAAGCAGACTTTAGGCGGTTAAAAATCACAAGCTTGCACCTGACATCGGCGATTGTTTAGGAAATCGCTCACTATTATTTTGTCCTAGTCCGCAAACGTAAGGCATTTATATAGCACTTATATTTTTTAAAGTCATTTTGGACGCTCTTTAGCTTTGTAGAATATGATATGCTCCATTTCAATTCATTATAGTGTGGGAGGCACATAACAACGCTAGAATAATGCCATCTTGTTATTCCTATCACAGATATTAAAACCAGAAAAGACTGTTTAAGATGTCACCTCAGCTCGCTGCGCTTGATTTCCTAAAAAGCATGTACTAGTAGATCAAGACACTCACCCTTCTCTGCAGAGGCGGCTAGCGACGGAACTTGCATTCATCCAGCATTCATCTTATCTACATGAAGTGAACGTGGAACAAACATTCTTTTCGAAACAGAAAGTTCGATCAACTACTAAAATATTAAGTAGGGTTTTTACCCTTAGTTTCAAAATCAACATTACCGATTTTCAATACCTCGATGGTTAGCAACTTGTGCAAGTCAAAAAATGTTCCTTTGAATTGATCCCTCTCATGATTTGTGTTTCAGAGTTGACTTCATTTGCTAAAATACAGTGTTAATGGATAAAACCAAAAATTACACGAGCGATGGAAAGTGAAAGTGGCGAAAATGTTGAGTATTTCTGGATGTTACGGGAAACCATTGTTGGTTTGCTTTTGTTTTGTGGCCGTATTTTCAACCCGAAATTTGCTAACATCAACTCTCCTCGCGTTCGCAAATAAAGCCGCAAGGAGAAATTTGGACGCTTTCCATCAATAGAACAACTCTTCTTCTTTCACTAGAAGATACTTTCAAAGCAATATCAAGACTCGTTGAACTAACATAATTCAGAAACTAAGAACAGGTTTTTACGGTGACAAAAACTTTAATTTAGTAGTTGTTTTCTGCGGCATTTTTCTACGGCAACTATAGAGTGTTTTCACTCACGTGGTCAGCATCTATGCAAATTTATTGGAACAAAAGAAAGCGTTTGCATAAGAAAGGAGTTCAACTCCCACAGGACTGGTTTGGGACACCAACATGGCCGCCGTTTCATTGTTTTGGGACACCAATATGGCCGCCGTGACGTCATGTGAAAACACTCTATTGTTGGTTCGCCTTTGTTTTGTGGCGTGGGTATTTTTCGTTGTCTTTTCAACCTTTTGTATGACGTCATTCAGTGATTGCACCTGTCCGTAGCACCAAGAAACTACTAAAATATTCTGTTGTCTTAGTACCCGCCAAAGAAAAAGAATGAGAAATTGAGTATGACACGCGACGGCTATTATTTTGTCACAGACTTGACTGTGTCCAGCAAAAGATAAAAGAAATAATGCGGTAGAGGTTTAGTTTATTTTAAATGTTTTCACCCATAGCTAACGCTGTATTTGGCGCCAAAAGATTTTAAACTAATCCGCTGAAAGCTTCCACTATAACTGGTTATGTTTATATCTACTGTTTAAATACTAAAATACGTTTAACAATGCTATGTTTAAGTGGTTTTGAACTATATTTTCGTTGGGTGCCCCTGAATCTATAACAAATTCTAGGCGATTTTTGCTTCTCCGAACAGATATTTCACAGAAAACAGTCGGCACTTGGTGCCCCTGAGATTACACTTTAATTCGTAATATATTTCATTTTTTCTCTTCAAATAAATATTTTTGTCTCAGTTGCGTGCCTATTAGAACGGAATTGTAGAATGCGCTTCATGGGTCCTTATCTAATTCGCTTCTACATAACAAAAAACCAAACAACTCTTTTCCATGTGATGTATGGCGTCGCAAACGTCTGACATTAGTTCACTGATGAATCTCTCCCAGAAATTATAATTTCTATTTCGCACCGTCTTTTCCTTACTGTTTCTTATAATAACAAACCGAAGCAACGACACTGATTAGAAGGAAAAAAGGACGCAGTGAGCGTTATATCAAAAGACAGTTTACCAACCTTAAACGCCAATAAAACTCTTCATGACTTCTTCATGACCGTCAGATGAAATAAGAAAGCATTATGCAGCAATTACACTAAGGCTTGCATATTTTACCTCCCCAATATTCACCCGCAGAACCAAGACTAGCGACTGTTGACGTGGATTTTGCCTGTTACAAACAAAAGGAAATGCAAATTAAGGGAAATTTCCCTTTTTCTCTCAGACAAATTACTTGAAATTCAACCGGAAATACTGCATTATGGCTTGTCATACATGGCTTACCTTAGATAATAACAAATCGCCCAATCGAAAAAAAATTAGAAATGAGAACAATTTGCTTCAGATAAAATGTTATACTATAAGGCTTAGTTCATGATTTGTTATGACAAAAAAAGAAGATTTGTGATATCGAAATATTTGAAACTTTTGTCAGTTTTGTGGTTGGAATGTTTTACGAAAAGTATGCTTTTTATAATCGGAAACTGTTGTCTCCAGTGTGTTACTAACTTGATCAAATGAAAACCAGAACAAACTTAGGTAGAGTAAAATGCAAGTGAGAGAAAAATGAGAAAGCAAAAAAAAAAATTTAAAAAAATGAAAATATCTCTTTCCAACCTCGTTCCCAGGGTCCTCTCCTACTCATCGGAGTTCCGGAGAGCGAGTAGGAAGGGCCCTAAGAACGAGGTTGACTCATTACTTTCATGAATAAGATGTCAAAAGAAGCGTTCAGTTCGAAATGTCGAAACGTCGTTGCATATTTTGAACGTTTTAATTTTTTTTTAAAATGGTGTTAAGAAAAGCTTTTTCGCAATTTTTTTGTTATAGCTAAGTGTGACAAATATGATTTTGCCATCGTGAACAGTCTGGATCGTTTCTCGTTTCTCTAAAACCGCGCTTTCGACAACCCATAAAAGTAAACAAACAGTGATAACATGAAAACTATGGCTATGTTCACACTATACTGGATAGCTTTTCGTGGCGCTACGAATATGTGACTCTCGGCCCCGCGGGGGTGCTGACGGAATTTTTTGTTGGGGATGTGCCGCTGGGATCCTGAAACCCTTAGCCTATACCAGAGTTGAATCAAGTAAATTCTTCTACCCTATATTAGACTAAACTCCCTAAAATACCCCCCCATCCTAGAGTATCTGTTTTCCAGAAACTACTGAGGTCACTAGCACAGTCCAGCCAAAACAAAACCGATTTGATTTTTTTTATAGTTTTGAGTGGCCATTCATAGTTCGCCTAGTCTAGACTAAAATCTTCAGCCAATTGATCACTGCTGGAAAACTATACCCTATTCTATTCTAGGCTTAAACTCTTTGATTTATATACCCTTCACAGCGGGATATACCTATTTAGTAAAATCCAACTAATGGTCTACTATCAATGCTACGTTCTGATTGGTTGAGCTACTACTAGGCTATATGTTATAGCCCACTACTAGCGAAAAGCGCCGGCAATTTGGCGGCAAAAAAGGTTAAAGTCTAGATTTAACTAGCTAAAGTTGTTTTGCCTCAATATTTTTGACCGACTAGTTGGATTTTACTAAAACAATTAGCCTCTGAGTCAATAGCCCATTCGGTCTTCGGCCTCATGGGCTATTGACTCAGAGCCCATTCGGGCTCGAGGAATAATTGTTAAATAGCCCATATATGGCAGTACCCTCCCCCCTCAACCAGGCCTTTCGCTTTAGAGATCGGAGCCGAGCCGTAGCTTCGCTCCGTCACAGACAGAAATCAGGCCGCCCCAGCCATTTTTGTGTATGAACAGAAGCCCTATTTGGTATGGTTTTCCTGGTGGCGCCAAAGCTATCCAGCATAGTTTGAACATAACCTTTAATAAATTTAGATTTCGTGGAGCAAAAAGCAAATAAAAAGAAAGTGAAAGTTTATTGTTTCGGAAGTAGATATGTATTATATGTAACAAATTGTAATCGTCAACACTGTTTGCTCTATGTAAGGATAACTTTTTTTCTAATAACCAGGAGCGGATCTAGGGGGAGGGTGCAGGGGGTACTCACCCTCCCCTGAAATGACTTGCGACTTTCTAACTAGGGGTAATCATAGATTAAAGAGTGCGTTCGATATGCGAAGTGAGTTATTTCCGGGCAGACCATAGATTTTTACAGGCTTCTATGAGTAAGTGTTCAGGGAGAAAAAAAAGGTGATGATGATGGCAAAGATTAACATATTGTTAAAAAAAATTTTATTGTGAAAAGGTTGATATAGAACCGGCAATATGTGTTGCATAATTATATTGCGCATCAGTTAACAACAAAATGAAATTAGTTGTTAGTTGACCCAAGTGTTAGTTTCTTCAGCTGCAGGATTTAGATTTATTGGCAATAATCGGATAATTTCATTTGTAGTAATAAAATATAAGAAGATTTTTAGTCATGCAGCGACGAAAACAAAGTATCCGACAGAAAAGCGTGCATCGTGTATGTGCAGAGTAATGTTTTGCTCGTTCAAAACTTGCTTGAATTTGTTTGAATTTGCTTAAGCTCTCTAATGAAGTCAATCGGAAGGATATAAGCTTCCTTTTTAGCTTTGTAAATCATTACTTAAAAAAAAAAAAATAAAGTGCAGTGCTACCGGGAAAGTCTCGAGCAATAATTATTTAACTTGAACGCTGCATGCGGTTTTTATGTGACCCAAAGTTGAAAGATCCACACTACAATTCATGAAACTTAATTTGTTAAAATAACTAAACGAAAGTCGCAAGTCGAAGGAACATTACTTGTACGCCGTGTACACCAAAGATTTGCTCAATTAACGCACTTAATCGCATATGCCTGAATTCGAAATATATCCAAGTTATTTAAGGCGCCAGAAAAAAAAACAAACAAACAAACAAACAAAAGTAACAGAACAAAATTCACCTATGTTCGCGTTAAAACTTGATTCTCTCGCCTTCGCTAGCATCAGGAAAACCTTGAATCGAGCTTAAAAGGCAAACAGATCAAGAAACATTCTGAAAGTTTCCATTGTGTGTTACAAGTGACGTGGACCGACAGTCATCTCGTATTGGTCGAAAAATGAGTCATGTGTTTTGTATGGTTCGTACCGAGAACAGCTATGTTCTTTCAAGAGGCCGGGCTATTTGGAAGTCCGTCGCAAAAAATCTCGATTTTTTCTGGCTACTAATTTAGGATGGCTTTCTGCGAACGCAATTAACACTGTGCAGTCCACTTCACAGTTATGCAAAATCTGCTGTATCATTCGATATGTATTCTCAGCAGTTCACATGATTTTATTGCCTGAGTCGAAAGCCTTCTTCTTCGTATTCGCTAATAAAAGTTGTTTACGTCACCAGTCAGTTACTCCATTCCTTAGTGGTACACCCCCTCCTGCGAAACATCCTGGATCCGCCCCTGGTAACCATGGTGAACGCCAACAATTTACACACGCTCCTCTCATTGGCTAATTCCAAAGACCAGTAATGCGCATTCAGTAGACAATGAAGGGTAGGAAGATTCATAGTTTAGCAACGTGAAGCGCCATTGTCTTCTAAAAAGTCAATCGTACTAGTGCTTGCATAGTTTGCGCCAAGCATTCGGTAAGTGCAGATCACGTGCGAAAAAGGCGGCCGTGCAGTGAGGGAGCGAGAGAGCCAGCGACTTTTCTCGATGCGCTTTCCCTATTACCTTGCAAATTGGAGCCTGGGAAAGGCTAGTGCTTGCATCTCGGACTAATATGATAATCTATTTGGTATATTACTTCGCGGTGACAATGTTAAATCAAACTTACTGCAATTCTTGTCCTTCTGTTTTTAACCGATTCGCAGCATAATTGACTGGAGGATGTTGCGAATTTAGTTGGACTCGAGACAGCTCCTTGAAAAAATAAAAAATAAAAAAAAAAGTAAAGCAAATACTGAAACTACATGTAATTAGGTGTTGGCACAAATGTGGGTCAATTTTTTTTTTTCACTTTGCTCGGTCTCGTCTTTTAAACGAATTTGACACAACATGTCAAACGTTTACCTACGAACATGTGACTCATCGGACGACTGACAAAAATCTGTCGTGGTGGAAGGTCTAAAAGCGGCATTTCCAAAACTGCTTTGCCTTAAAGTTAAGAATAGGTCTTCCTCTGAGTCACTCATCTCTTTCTGGTAAAACTAACTGTTTGACTACTCCACATGAATTAACCAATTTCTATATTTTAGAATCCAACCTCAAACAATTCGAGGCTTTTGGGAAAAGCTTTTTCAAAAAACGTTCTGATTTAGAAAACCTCCTTAGCGGGGGGTACTCCGGATTTCAAGCGACTGGGAGGATGGAGGGTTTTTTTGGATTTTTTATTCTGGGCAAGTACTTTTGGGGGGTGGCTTGATTTTTCGGGGGTATTCAAAACAATCTGAAGATTCGTGGTAGTGCCCGCATAGCTAGTTCTACGAACAACGTAAAAACAAGTAAAGTAAAAAATGTAATACTTTCTGGAAAATTTTAAGGCTCGGAACTTTGGCATAGAATTTTTTGAAGGTCAAAGTTTGGTCCGGGGATTTTTTGCGTTTTACTGGAGAAACCAAGGGGATGTTTTTTGGGTTTTATGCCCCCATTCAATCATTCTCGACAGTTGAAATCGGGAGTACCCCCCCGGAAAACTTCACAAGTGAATAAGCATATATTATTTGCCGTTTTCCCTCGGGCGTATGTGATATACTTATATATCGCTTTTAAATAGCTCACAGAAAGGACTGGGAACGAGTATGAGCCTTCCACATTATGATCATGAATTTTCGAACGCTCAGACCACTTGACAACATTGCTCGTGCGCTGTCAAGACGATTCAATAAAAACACGACTAATACTGATGGACGGTTAGGAAGTCTTAAAAACCCGGTTAAATGACTAACGTATGATCAATACTAATCTCCCGGGTTCCTAGCCCCTTGTCTCCCTCCACCTGTTCGGCTTGAATGCTAATTTATCATCTAAGTCAGGGGCGGGCTGTTGCGAGTTTGAGGTTAATGAGTGACTTAAGCTAGTAAGGGAGTGGCGTTCTCCTTTTCTTTTTCTCTTTTCGTTTTTTCAAAAAAGACTAGTAAATTCGCAAATAAGTTAAGAAGAATGGGAAACATGGTACTGAGAAAGAGTCGTCAGAGGAGATCGCCGGGACGACTGCTTA